GGCTGGGGAATTATGGCTGAGTTGAAGTCCACTCATCTTAAAGTGGCCAAGTTTGGACAACACTGGCTTAAGCAATCCCCAATAACACTTTCCCAAACCATCTGCAATCCACTTTACCGATCAAGCAGGTATTTCAGGTATTCGGAGCAATCCTGCTGGGCTCCCCGGGTGAACCAGGGTGGCCACGAAGCCAAAAGGAAGTTTTCAGGAGAAATGGCAGGCCGCTTGCGGAGATATGAGAACAGGAAGAAAGCAGAGAAAGACCATTAAAAGACTGGAAGCATTTCGAAACCTGCCGTTCAGGTTATCAGGCTGACCCATTTTCCCTCGGCTTTTTTCATTAAAGTTCCTGGTTTTTTTCCCTTCTGTTTTGTGCCTGCTAAATTTATATATTAGTTTATTTGAACACTGTACACAGCTTTGCGTGAGTTTCTAAGATAGTCCCTCAAAATCTGTAGGTGGATAAATATATTCCTAGTTAACATTCAATAAGTTAAATTTAATTTTAATTTTAATTTAATTTAATTTGATTTTAAATTTAAAAAGTTAATAAACTTTTTTTTTATCTTTAAAGGTTTAAGTGATCTAAATCATCAGAGTGTTAATAATCTCTGGTCAACGCTGTATAAATACCACTGTACTCAAATAATATAATGTACTACTTGTGTTTTATCATAACACAATAAAACAATATTTAAAACAATATTAGACTCCCCACCCCACCCCCCAATTGGCTTTAGTTTCTGCTGGAGGGTGGTGTTATTCCTTAACCCCGCATTTAGATCTATCTACGGTTTCTACGCCAATCCTTGGCTACCCTTGCACAGTCTACTGAACCCACTCAGTGAACCCAGCAGTTGCATTCACACAACCTGCTATGTTTGTGCTACCATTAATTTGGGTTAGGGCCTTTTGTCATTTAGCACGTTGGGTGAACTCATCCTGTTTGGTTGATTCATAGTTCCAGTATATTGCACAAACCCCAAAAATGGGTTAATGCCGCCACCAGGTTAAGAGTATCATGTGAAGGAAATCATTGCCTATCCAGGAGACTGACATTTTAATTGCCAAGGTTCGGATGACAGCATTAGGTAGTGCTTAAGAGAGGATTTGGACATAGTGAATGGAATTGGATAATGTGGTTTAATGGTTACAGTGCTGGATCCGCACCCACTGGGCTAGCCATTATCCCTCATAGGATTGTTGTGATATTGAGGGGCAAGGGGTGAATGTACATCAGGAGAAAAAAAAACCCTAAAAAATTGCAGGCAAATACAGGTGGTCCTCATTTAGCGACCACAATTGGGACCAGCAACTCAGTCATTAAGCAAAGCAATAGCTCAGTGAAACTGCCACTGTGCTTACAATCTTCCTTCAGCTTTCCTTTGCTTTACAGACCTGCAAAGGTCGTAAATGCGAGGATTGGTCACAAAGTTCCTTCTTCATCACTGCTGTATCTGTGAACGGTCACTAAACAAGGCAGTCGCTAAACAAGGACGACCTGTAAAAAGAATATTGTCCCTACCCTCAAAACAAGAATCTTTATATGCAGTGGTTTCCTTGCTCCAATCTTGCTTGGCAGCAAATCACAGTTTGTCATTTTGCCTCAAACTCCAGTTATGGTTTCCATCCATCTAAAACTGGGGAACAAGGGCATCTGGGCTCCATGAAGTGTAGAAATGGGAATGAACGCAATGCAGGTGGACATCTGAACCATGAAGTCCTCACTTCACCTCCTATTGGGGATTTTGGTAGGTGCCTTCTTGCAGCTTCCCCCTCTTTATTTAATTTATTTATTTAAAAGATGGACCTAGCCGCCCATCTTAGGTAGCAAAACAGTAATAAAAACAGTAAGCAGCATAAGAAACAGTAAAAAAAAAACCTCAATCTTCCTTATGACACCCAAAATGTGCTCTAATTCAGTGTTTCTCAACCTCAGCAACTTTAAGATGGGTGGACTTCAACTCCCAGAATCCCCCAGCCAGCATGGCTGGCTGGGGAATT